GTAGTTTCGCTTTCACAACGAAGCACACAGCGTCTTCACGACATGGCTGCAGCGTCAACAATAATACAGAGCGAATCAAAGTGACGCCGCCTTTCTTTGTGTGAACATTTGGGCAGTGTTATGCAAATCTTCCTACACAGTGACGTAGACATGTGGGGGTGTGTTAGAACGAGGCATTTTAGGAAGGAGTGGCTGAGCGTTCTCTTTTATAAAGAATATCTCTTTGGATTTGAGACTTTAGTCTTTGCAACTTTACAGATCTTCTTTATGCACCAAGAGCTTGTAACACTCCAAAGAGAAAGGAAAACATGAAATCGCATCATATGACCCCTTTAATGTTTAAACAGTCATAGGTCTTACTCATTTTAATTTCTCATTTTGTATTAAAATGTGGTTTATTCAGGATGAGGAAGAGGACTCTCCACTGGATTCATCGAGACCCGATCGAGCTGTGATGGTCCATCCTGTGGCAGAGAGACTGGACACGATGATGACTGTCCTGCTGGCTTATATTAAGGACATTTGCCATGTCAATGGTAAGGACATTACCATTTTATGAATCATAGAAGTTGTTTTTTTTAGGGCTGTCGGTCCATTAAAATGTTTAATCACAATTCGTGTAGCACATTCAGTCATTTTATAGGAAAGAAAAAATATATACTACCGTTCCAAAGTTTGGGGTCAGTAAGATTTAAAAAAATTTTTTTTAAAGAAATTAATCTCTTACCTCATACTTTTTAATGGTGGTGTATCATGGTTTTCAAAAAAAAAAAAAAAAAAAACTGCTTTCAACATTGATAATAATAAGAAATATTTTTTCATGATCACCAGATCAGCAAATTAGAATGATTTCTGAAGGATCATGTGACACTGAAGACTGGAGTAATGGCAGCTTTGCCACCACAGGAATAAATTACATTTTAAAATTTATTAAAATAGAAAACAGTTGTTCAGAATTATAATAATATTTCACAATATTACTGTTTTAATGTTTTGTTTAAATAAATGTGGCTTCGGTGAGCATACTATATTTCTTTAAAAAAAACATTAAAAGATCTTACTGACACCAAACTTTTGAATGGTAGTGTATGTCTTATTTTGCTGTCATTGATTGTATATCAGCCATTAACCATTCCTGTCATCGATCAATATAATCATATCAATATGCCACTAATATTCCTTATACCTTACACCATTATTCATTATTTTTAAATTCACACAGATCTCCCGAGGACATTTGATCAGTGTCATCAAGCCTTGCAGCTGATTGCAAGATATGTTCCATCGTAAGTGTCAAAACCTCCAAAAGCATAGCGGAGTTGATCAGTTTATTGATTTAGTTTAGCATGAAGTTTAGCAGTCACTAATAAACACTTTTCTTGTTCTTTCAGAACCAGTCGATTCCTGATGCCAATCCTTTCTGATAAGTTCCCTTTTGTGCAGAAATCCTCCAGAACACTTGTGAGTTATGTGGAGAGGTTCTCCACAGCATTTACATCCAGTACTGGAGTAACGTCATTACATGTGTGAATGTGATTGTACTGAGGCCGTGTTGCCTGTCCACACAGGAGTGTTACGTGCACAACCTGTTGAGAGTTTCCGTCTACATCCCTGACTTGAGGAGAGACATCTTAGAGCTCATCATCAGCAAGATGCTCACACTAGACGTAAGTGACTTGTGTTTAGTAACTGTACTGATATATTTGCAACTGTGCAGATGTTTGATGGCTGTTTTTGACTCCATCCTGTGGCAGAGAGACTGGACACGATGATGACTGTCCTGCTGGCTTATATTAAGGACATTTGCCATGTCAATGGTAAGGACATTACCATTTTATGAATCATAGAAGTTGTTTTTTTTAGGGCTGTCGGTCCATTAAAATGTTTAATCACAATTCGTGTAGCACATTCAGTCATTTTATAGGAAAGAAAAAATATATACTACCGTTCCAAAGTTTGGGGTCAGTAAGATTTAAAAAAATTTTTTTTAAAGAAATTAATCCTTTTTTTCCAGCAAGGATGCATTAAATACATTCGGTCTCAAATGAATCTTTAGTCTTTGCAACTTTACAGATCTTCTTTATGCACCAAGAGCTTGTAACACTCCAAAGAGAAAGGAAAACATGAAATCGCATCATATGACCCCTTTAATGTTTAAACAGTCATAGGTCTTACTCATTTTAATTTCTCATTTTGTATTAAAATGTGGTTTATTCAGGATGAGGAAGAGGACTCTCCACTGGATTCATCGAGACCCGATCGAGCTGTGATGGTCCATCCTGTGGCAGAGAGACTGGACACGATGATGACTGTCCTGCTGGCTTATATTAAGGACATTTGCCATGTCAATGGTAAGGACATTACCATTTTATGAATCATAGAAGTTGTTTTTTTTAGGGCTGTCGGTCCATTAAAATGTTTAATCACAATTCGTGTAGCACATTCAGTCATTTTATAGGAAAGAAAAAAAATATACTACCGTTCCAAAGTTTGGGGTCAGTAAGATTTTTAAAAAATTTTTTTAAAGAAATTAATCCTTTTTTTCAGCAAGGATGCATTAAATACATTCGGTCTCAAATGAATGCTGTTGTTTTTGAACTTTCTATTCATCAAAGAATCCTGAAAAATGTATCACAGTTTGCATAAAAATATTAAGCAGCACAGCAGATGTATTTAACATTGATGGTAATAAGAAATATTTCTTGATCACCAAATCAGCACATTAGAATGATTTCTGAAGGATCATGTGACACTTAAGACTGGAGTAATGATGCAGAAAATTCAGCTTTGCATCACAGGGATAAATTGCATAGAAAACAGTTATTTTAAACTGTAATATTTCACGATTTTACCATTTTTTTTTGTTTTTACCAAACAAATGCAGCCTTGGTGAGCATAAAACACTTTCAAGAACATGTTATTTTAACCTTTCTATTCATCAAAGAATCTAATTTATTAACTATTTTGACCACTGGTAATACATTTTTTTACTTGAGCACAAAATCAGCACATTAGAATGATTTCCGAAGGATCATGTGTCCCTTAAGACTGGAGTAATGATGCAGAAAATTCAGCTTTGCATCACAGGGATAAATTGCATAGAAAACAGTTATTTTAAACTGTAATATTTCACGATTTTACCATTTTTACTGTATATTTCAGCAAACAAATGCAGCCTTGGTGAGCATAAAACACTTTCAAGAACATCTAAAGATCTTACCCAAACTTTTGAACGGCAGTCTAAGTGTAATTTTTGTGTTGTGACATGGCAGCATGTTTATACCTTCATGTAAAGAAGTGCATGAAAATGCACAGGCATTAAACATATTTCATAAATAACATTCATATGTGCATTTATAATTTAACTTTGTATCTGAATTTAAAAAAAATATATATATTTTTTTTGTTTCAATCTCATTAGGCTCATTAGATATTGAGAAAACCAAAGCCCTGTACAGAGACCTGCTGTCTATGTTTGATAAGGTGGTGCTTCCCACTCACGCTTCCTGTCACGTGCAGTACTACATGTTCTACCTGTGCAGCTTCCGCCTGGTGAGTTCCCACAACTCTGTTATTCTCAAACAAACAAACAAAATCATAACTTTTCTGTTTTTTTTTTTCAGGGTTTGGCTGAAGCTTTTTTGGATCACTTATGGAAGATGTTACAAGCCCCCAACCAGCCCCCCGTCCTGAGACAGGCTGCTGCTGGATACATGGGCAGCTTCATGGCAAGAGCCAAGTTTTTGCCAGTATCGTACGTGACCTTATCATGCAGTTTTATCTTATCTAATGCAGTGGAGTTCAATATTTAATCATCTTTCTTGGCAGTGGTTTGTTACCTTGATTAAGTCATTAAACATTAATGCCTCTTTGTTGTTATCTGGAAAAGAAAAGGGTTTGATTGGACACAGGTACCTATATTTGTCAAAACATCATTTGAAATAGTGTCAAAACTGGTTCTGTAGAGTTTCCTCTCTTCCACAGGACAGTCAAGGCCTGTCTGGACCTGTTGGTTCCCTGGTTGCACCTTTATATTAACAGTCAGGACTCGGGATCCAAAGCATTCTGTGACGTCAATCTGCACGGCCCCTTTTATACAGCTTGTCAGGCTGTGTTTTACACGCTCATCTTCAGACACAATGCCATTCTGGAGGGCAATATGAAGAAAGGTCAGTACATGTGGAATTTACCTGTTTATACTTGGAAGCACAAGCGTGAAAATCATTTGAGTTGTTAAAACGTTTTTTTCAGTTGTTATAAGTTGTATAGTCAACTATACAACTTATAAGTTGTCAAGTACACAATTTATTTTGCCCTGGTCTGTTAATCATGCAAACAATGACCTGAGTTCACCACTTCTAGAATGTGTTTATTTGTATTTTATTTCTAAATTTCAATTTAATTTTTTTATTTTGGGG